AGCAAAATGTTCAATATCATAAAATTGTATGTTTATTTGTATATCCAAGGGCGGACCTACATGAGTGCACAGTGGTGCATGTGACCCAACAGTAAAAAAAATGAAGATTAATTTAAAAAAAATGAAAAATGAATAACGCGTGAAGGGACAACCAAACCACTGACCAATTCAACCCATTCAAACGTCACAACTCACAAACCCTAACTCCCTTTCTCCATCTGACTCACTGACTCAACCAGCCGACCACCGACGCCGAACCAACCACCAGCCCACCGCACCGTCCGCACTAGCCCACCGCTTCACTCCTTCAAGCCTTCAAGGACTTTGTCTTGCTGTAGTGTTGTGACTGTTGTCTCCTGTTTGCAAGCCTGCCGCCACCACCCTCGGATCTACGACGACCACCGACTGAACTCACTGAAGCAAAGCAAGGTATTAATGTATTATTATATTAAAATTTAATTATGAACTAATTAATTTGTTATTTAGTATTAATTTTAATTATGTGTAATTTCAATCATTTGATTAATTGAATTGAACTGAATTGTTGATTTGTTGTTCATTGTTGTGTTAATTATTTATAATTTCAGTCATTTATAATTTCATATCAAGGTTGGCAGGTTGTTCATTGTGGTGTTGTCATGTTGAAATGTTGAATTGAATTGAAATGAATTGAATTTTATTTGGTAATATTGGTACTTTGGTAGTCTTAATTAGTTGGTTATTAACCTTATTGTATATTACTTTGATAGTTTGATTTGTTTTAGATTTAATTGATATTTTATTGTATTATTTGTATTCAAATAAACTGAAATTATGTATATTTGAATTGCTGAAGTTTTTGTTATTTCTTACTATAATACTTGGGACCTTACGAGGAACACGTAGGTTAAGAAAATTACAAGTGGATCCATTTAAAATATTTGTTTATTGTATAAAAGATTTTCTTTTGTATTTTTATATTGTAAGAAAACAAGAAGTAGGGTAGGAATGGGGTAGGTGAGGAGAGAGAAAATGGAGGGAATTTTTTTTATTATTAGTGGTTCCATTTTATATTTAGTAATGTGTTAAGTATTGAAGGATGGACGAAAATAGAAACTGGGAATGATTTTCATAATGAAGCGGAAACGTAATCCAAATAAAATGTAGAATATTGATAATTTCTTCACTAAAGGTAATCCTCCTAGTCAACAAAATTTTTCTCCAAATGAACAAATTTCCACTCCACATCATGCTAGTGAACAACATTCTTCTCCCACACACAATTCACCTCAAAATTCCACTCATAGCTCACCCTGAGTTATTGTACAGAAGTACAATAACTCTGAGTGACTCATAGGCTCGGAAATCCTGTATCCGCCACCGTGTATATCACGTTAGTAAAAAAATATATATATTTATTTCTATTTTTAAAAATTATGAAATTAGATGTTCATTTGTATTACAGATGTTTTGTATTTCTCGATAATTAAATGTTCATTTTCATGCAGTCTAATTTCACTTGAAGCTTAAAAAATGGTGATGAATAAGCAACAACATTATATGTTCATTTTCATTTACAATTGAAATGTTCAGTTATATAATATTAGATATATAATTTTTTTTTCAGTTTCATAGTCTCTTTATTTTATTCTTAAATTATAAATGTTCATTTTTATATATTGCAATGTTAATTTCAAGTTTTAGATATTTCGTTCTTTTGATTTGAAATTCATTATTCATTTTTCATTAAAAAAAAAAAGAAAAAGTGTGAATTGTTATTTAACGAAATATTCATCTGAGTTTTTTGATATACATTTGCAATTTCAATGTTACTTTTCAAATATGTTCAATTACTAAATGTTCATTTTTTTTTCTAATAAATGTTCATTTTTGTTGGGAAAATCAGTTACTTTTCAAATGTGTTCAATTACTAAATGTTCATTTTTGTTGGGAAAATCAATTACTTTTCAAATATGTTCAATTATTAAATGTTCATTTTTATTATAATAAATGATCATTTCTGGTCGTGGGACCAGCTAGCTTTGGCAGTTTTATACTTAAACAGTATACTATACATATAAAATCTGTCTTCCTAAATGTATGCTTCCTTGTGTTTGTTCCATTCTTAACTAGAATTTTCAAAATCGAGATTGCCATAACTATGGAAGATGGATGGTTTATATTCTGAATATCGGAGGGATAGGACTTCAAACCTATAACATGCAAATCACGGACTACTCCTATTGAAATGCATTGGGTGCAATATGCTTGGCTTTAGCTTGTAGAATGGCGTTCAATATCAAGAAGATAACCACTGCAGTTTGTTTGACGAAGGCTCTAACATACACTTAATCATTTCATGATACTTGCAAGCAAGCTTTTTAGCTCGGGTACAGAGAACGAAATTTGTGCTGAGAAATGAACATGTTAATAAAATAACTTGTGATAAATGAAGTATGCATGAAAACCCCTCAATCATGAATGAAAATATATAATGCAAATATGCAATACAAAACATAGTGATAAATGCTGCATTAACTAGATTATTCACAGAATCACAGAGGAGGTTAAAAGCAAGAACACGGAAGAACAAATAGGATTACCTTACAAAACGTGCTCTCCGAAGACCTGTGATAGCATCACATTTCCTGCAGGAAGATTTCAGATATAATACCAACCAGGCGGAAAAAAGTTCAAAAACAGGGGTACAGGCAGTTGACACTTGACAGCAACGAAAACAAAGGCAAGATCGATATCATGTTTATATCTAATTCTAATGTCTTTCCTAGCAAATAATATGAATGAACAACAACCATTCCTACCAGAATTAATCCTATATAACAGATGTAAGATTTAACACAGTAATGCAGACAACAATTCCTTAAACCACCGCTTGGTAAACCGAAGTTACGCAAAAAGCATCACCCTTGCCTTCTTATCCTTGACAAGCATTAACCAAACAACTATACCTGATGGATTACCAGAGAAGATACTGATATTTATGTAGATGGTCATTCAACATATTGATAACAATGTCCAGCAATTTTCTGGACACAGAGGTAATAGCTAGGATCAAACTCTGTCAAACCATATATATACATATGGAAAAAATAATTTATAGGGGACGTGCGAAGGGATCAAAAGAAAGAAAAGCATTCAACCAAAGTACAGTTTAGATAAAGAGCAACAAGAGGTAAAATATATGAGAAAAACTACGCCGCAGGTAGACCATTAAAAGAAGTAAACGAGAAGAAATAGCCTACTGATTATCACACTTTACATCATTATATATCATTCCCAAGAAGTCTTCTACACTAGCATTTGTTTCCAAGGCATAGAAATCCCATGAGAAGCTCAAGGTCATCCAAAACTTCATTATTATCTATATGCCTAACATATGAAAGCTAAAACTTATAGCAACGAACTTCACATGCAAACCCATATATGCTGTATAGAAGATTAGAAGTGGTAGTGTGGCGTTTCCATGTTCAATAAGACAACAAAGCCAGCACTGCATTAACAAAGTCCTCAACTGTGACCAGAAGTCTACCTAGCCACTTTACCAGTTGAATAAAAGACACTTCACTCTTTTGTTACATCATATTATTTTTATACGGAAGAAAAATATATTCATGCAGTCAATTTAGGGTCTTATTGGATTTGTCTTAATTTGTACTTTAATTTTTTTTTTTTATATTTTTACAAAAATGCAACCAAAGATATTAATACGGAGTAGTTTAAATTGTACATTGGCAAGCGTTAAGTGTTGCAAGTAAAATGTAGCAGAAGCAACCTTTGAAAGAGATAATAGATTTGAGATATCACCAAAAGCAAGCACCATTCAGTCTGGAGAGCTAGCATGAGCGTAGAGCCTGCTCATTTCCTAACTCATATTTTAGAAGCCTATCTTAGTAAATGATACAAATACCGTATATACAGGCTATGTTCTGCGAGTGGAAATAGGAATGAGCAAGAATGCAATTATCATAAACTAAATAAAAGGTACACCAACACTCCCTATTAGTAGCTTCAAATGGACACTCAAAGTAGAGATTACAGGTTAAGATCTGCTTACAGGATCACATCATTCACCAAAATGGAATGGTTGTTGAATGGTTATAGTGATGAAGGCAAATACGTAACAAATAAGAAGATAGAGAATAAAGTTTTTGAGAAATCCAGATGTAATGAGATAAGGAAGAATATGTTTTATGATTAAAATGGGGAGCATTTACAACAAAGAAAGTAAATATGATTAGCCTAATGGAGAATGCAGGAAATGCAAAGGCAAATTTCCAAGGGCAGTCCAGCTTTTGAAGAAAATTGCTCAGAGTACACTGTATATTCCCAGGACCAATCCAAGCTGACCCATGTTATTTGTAATCGGAAACTCAAATCAGACGCAAATATGTGCACTGTCAAACTAATCTACTTATAAAATTCCCCATGCTTCTGATCCAAAGAAGTGTCAATACCAATGTTGGAGTGTCAAGGATCCTGTTTGAGTACTTGAGGTAAATAAAAAGCCCCTAACATAGATGGTGACATTAAAATCAACTACATGTTTGGAACTTCAATGACACTTCGGTAAAAAAAATCACCTAGGTAAAAGGGAAAGGAAAGAAAGGGGGTGGGGAGGGGAAAGAAAGGGAGAGGGAAGGTAGAGCTCCATTTCCCCTCTAAATGTCTTCAATTTTGGAGGGATGATGTCTATTAGATAAGGAGAAAATGAATCTCTCCCTCTCCCTTCCTTCCCCTAACCTCTAAACTTGTTCTTCTCCTTTCCCTCATTTTCTATCCATTTCCTCTTATCCAAACAAAGTGTGAATGATTACAGGCTAAAAGGCAGCACTTCATTATTCCACAACTTCTTTTTTCAATTCTCTATCTCATACTACACATGTCTCAAAATTAGTCATACAAGTACAGCTCAAATACGAAAAAAAACGATAATCAGGAAGCATGAAAGTAAAAACTATTCAACTGTGGAAAAAGAAAAAGGCAAGATGAAATCAAGGCTATAAAAAATTAAAAAGCATAACTTGAAGTGAGTAAGCATCCCATTGCATACAAAACACGAAGTACTCAGAAAGTCCATTTGTACTAAAAAAAAAGGCCAATTTAAATCTGTGGATAGTTGGATACACAAGAAACAATTACAACCTTGACCTTGTAAAATCTCAAGCAACTCCACAACATCACTAGATACAGGATGCGGATTATTCGAGACCACAGCACAAAAAAACAAAAAAAAAAAAAAAAAAAAAAAAAAAAAAAAAAAAAAAAAAACCTTAAAACCAGCAACACATCACCCCTCTCCAGCACAAAATTACCAACAATTACAGTTCTTAAATGAAGATAAAGGTAATACTCCGTATTTCATTTCTTTTGATACACTTATCCATTTCTATGTACAGAAAACACAGCAAGTAGAGTACTAAATCTAGAATTTGACCACTAAACAGGAGGAATGTTAGAGAAAGAGAAACCCTTGTAGCCCTTGTATGCGTAGTAAGCAATCCTTGTATAATAAAAGCCCGGTAAGAACAAGATCGCCCCTAATATTGCAAAGAATAGCCCTGTTTCAATTCAACACATACAATTCAAAAATCAAAAACCCACAATGTCCAAACAACACACTTGAAAGAGGCATTCGACAAAATAAACAAATTAGGGATACAATTAGGGTTAAAAAAAGTAAACTAATTTCAGACTGAATCAAGCAACACCCACAAAAATTCAAAAAAATTCTAATTGAAAGAGGCACTCGACACCCACAAAAGTTCAAAAAAATCCCAATTGAAAGAGGCAATCAACGAAATAAACGAATTAGGGATACAAATAAGGTTAAAAAAATTAAACTAATTTCAGACTAAATCAAGCAACAAATGAAAATACCCACAAAAATTCAAAAAAAATCCCAATTGAAAGAGGCATTCAACGAAAAAGGGAATTAGGGATACAATTAGGTTTTAAAAAGTATACTAGTTTCAGACTGAATCAAGCAAAAAGTGAATACACCCACAAAAATTCAAACAAATCCCAACTGAATTAGGGTTAAGGTAAATACCATGAGCTCGATCACCACCGATATGATTAACAGCCATGAAAATCCCCAGAACGATGCCGACAACACCGAAAACGAGGAGAGAGACAGCGAGAGCGATCTCTTTAATAGGGGGCTTATTGTTGATTGCATAAGAGTTATCCATCATAATATCTTCATCGGTAATGGAGAAAGCATGATCAACATACGCCATTGTTAACAGTTTTTGCAAGCTCGAGTTTTTTTTTATGTTGCAGAGGATGAAACGTTTCTTTCGAACCTTAATTTGTTGTTGATGGTCGTTAAAGTGGTAGATGATGAAGAAAGTAAAAGGGGGATTTTTGGAGAATAGTTGGTTATACTTATTGCGTAGTTGCCGTCTTGCCGAAGTCGTTAGCTTTGAATAGAAGTCTGGTATGGTGTAAAACTAGATTAATGTCCGTACGATGTACAGTAGTAATTTTCCATAATTAATTTGTGATATAATATAAAAATGAGATAAGTTATGTGAAAGAAACAAATGCAATGCATATAAAAAAAATGAAATAATAAGGTAAAACATTTTTAAAACCACAATTGAAAAAGAAAAAAAAATTATTTTTGATTAGTTGTGTTGAAAATATTTAAAAATAATATACATTATATTAAATTAATGATGTATGTTATTCCCCATAAAACTATCAATGTTAATGTCGCATGACTTTTTATTAATGAATTAGTTTAGTTCAAAAAAAATATAAAAAACTATATAATGTACTTCCAAAAAATAAGCTAAGTAGAATAATTATTTTTTAAAAAAAAAAACTTAAAACTGACATCATATATTGCATTGGCGGGAAATTTTTTTAATCATAGCTTGACATAGGTCCAAAATGATCGACGACCTGTTTTAATAATAGTTAATAGATTTTTTGAGGGAAAAAAAAATTTAAGTTGGTAAAATTATTAGAGAAATATTTAACAGAAAACTAACTCAATTATTATTATTTCATAAGATTTCAAATCAACACCATGAATATTGAACCACACTATTGTACAATTATATAATGGTAATTTAAATGTTAATATTGTATTTTTGGCTTTGAAATTTCGTACTCTCCGCTATATTTCAACCTTCTAAATTATAGCTTATTCTCCGTTAATTAAAAGGTCTCAAAATCTTATGTAACTATTTTAAATAAATAGAACAAGAAATAAAAAGGAATACAATTATTATAAAGATAATATATAAGATTAGGAATTATACTATTATAGTTGTATTATACAAATATTCCAAAAATAAAAGATTTTTCCTAAAAAGGGAGGGGGGAGTTTTGGAGGGAAAAAACAGTACCAAGAAGTGACACATGTCATTCCTGGTGTCTGTTTTAGTATTATGTTATTGACCAAAAAAACCTTAGAATTTGAAATTATATTTTAGTTGAATATATATGGTAAATTTATTATGTATCAGCAACTTTTTGGTGTAGCAGGCCACACCGTGTGATAGGGGTTATCCGATCGAGTTATTTTATTAGGGGTTACCTGAGTTATTCAGTTAGGGGTTACTCTAATTACTCGGCCAGGGGTTACTCGAGGGGTTCACTCGGTTAAGGGTTACTTGAGGGGCTACTCGGTCAGGGGTTACTCGAGGGGTTCACTCGGTCAAGGGTTACTTGAGGGGCTACTCAGTCAGGGGTTACTCGAGGGGTTCACTCGGTCAAGGGTTACTTGAGGGGCTACTCGGTCAGGGGTTACTCGAGTTACTCGGTCAAGGGTTACTCGAGTTACTCGATTAGGGGTTACTCGGTTAGGAGTTATTTAAGGAGTTCGGTTAGGGGTTACTTAAGGAGTTCAGTCAGGGGTTACTTAAGGGGTTACTCAGCCAGGGGTTACTTGATGGGTTACTCGGTCAGGGGATACTTGAGGGGTTACTCAGTCAGGGGTTACTCGAGGGGTTCAGTCATGGATTACTCGAGGGTTATTCGGTCAGGAGTAACTCAAGTAACCCCTGACTGAGTAACTTGAGTAACCCGGCAAACTCGAGTAACCCCGGCAAACTCGAGTAACCCCTGACCGAGTAACTCGAGTAACCCCGGCAACTCGAGTAACCCCTGACCGAGTAAATCGAGTAACCCCTGGCCGAGAAACCCGAGTAACCTCGGCAACTCAAGTAACCCCAGGCCGAGTAACTCGAGCAACCCCTGCCGCACGGTACAGTAGGCCGCATACAAAAAAATTGTGATTATGGATAAATGGGAAGGAAATATTATTATAATATTTTAAATATTCTTTAACGATTTGATCAAGTAAACAAAAATGTAATAAAAAATGATTTGGAGGGAAAATAACAACACTAGAAAATGACACGTGTCATTCCTGGAGTCTGTTTTAGTATTATGCTATTGAATTACCACTCACGGATAGACATTTCAATTGAGCTAATCACGACACATAGTTTACTTGGTAAAAAAAATAAAAACTAAATTTGTTATGGAGTACATTTTTTTAAGGGGTGGGGGGGATCAAATAGTCTAGTTTTCGGATTGTAAATAATATTACATTTGTGTCAAATCATTACACATCTAACATCTCTTATCTAGTGGCCAATTGTAATGTTTAATAAAATAAAATAAAAAATTCGTGATAGATGTCGTTGACTTAAAGGTTCATCTTACTCCATTGAAGATACTCAAGCTTCTTCCTCTATTGAACGGTTGAACCTTCCTTATGAACCACCATGTCCACCACCATATTTTCGGTGGGTTTGCTGCATAATTAAACAAAAACCCTAATTTAAAATGGAAAAACAAATGCATGATTAACTCCAAAGGGTAGGAGTTTGTCACCATCTTCGATTTCTCCATTGCAGCTGATCATTTCTCCATTAAAGGCTTCAAATTTGAGTGATGGAAAATAGAGATGGATGTTAATTGTGACAAAGAAGGTGATGAATTTTGTGGATTTAATTTTGCTTATGAGGGAGCCCAGGTTTCTCTCAAAGAGAAACTTGGACATTTATCTCAGTGGCAATTCGGTAAATAACTTGACATCTCATGCCAACTACCCTCTTTCTCTCTCCTCTCACTACTCCACCACCACCACCAAACCACCCCTTCTCTCCCCTCTCCTCCCATGGCCACGCTGAGTCGCCGATCAATCATCTATATCGCTGCTTCGCAGCGATATATCGACCAACCTAACAAATTATGTAAAGTGGGCATAGGGAAAGGTATTTTCCAACCAACGAGCATGTTGTGAAGGGAAATCTTAAAAGCGGTGGTGTTGGTAGTTTTTATAGTTAGGTTTGAGCGATGCAAGTGGGGTTATGTTGTTGGCGCAAGGGGCGGTGTTAGTGGTTGTGCAATGTGATGCAAGTAGGGTCGTGTAGTCGGAGCGACAAGGTAGTGCTAGTGGTCGTGCGGTGGGGAGGAATTTTTGTTTGGTGGTGCTAGTGGTTGTCTATCGTGGTGATGGCGGTGGAGTGGCTAGAGGAGAAAGGAGAGGGAAGCCAAAATATGGAAAAGCCAAAATTATCCCTACTATTCATAATTAAAAAGTCATTATTAAAATGTTTATTTTCGTTATAAGCTTGGATTTCCCCTTATTAATGAAATTATGTTACTACCCTTACCAGAATGATGTATTTTACTACTTTACCTCTGGATAAACCAAACACTTTACTTTAATCATGAAGATAAACTTGAATTTTCTCCAATTTTTAAAGTATGAATTTTTTTTTCCTTGCCATATTGATTAACTTGTTTTATTTATTTTTTGGGAATGATTTATTAGGGCATTAGGTTAATATAAATGGAAAAAATTTCATAGAGGTTTTTTCACTTACCACATTAGCATCATATAAACCTTTTACACAACAATTCTATTTTGAGTTAAGCATATAAATAGGGATTAATTTTTTAAGAATTTTCACTTATTTTCTTCACTTTTCGAGGACTCGGCCGAATTTTCCGTCCAACTAACCATAGACTCCCCTTAAAAATCTCAAGATTCAAGATTGACGTTACTACATACAGTTAACTCGCCTTCATTATGACTAAGCAAAATGACCATGTATAAACGTTAAAATGTACAAGTATGACCAGGCAGCTAAGTACCGTTTCTCATATCTATATAACTAATACTAAAGTAATTACCGCTGACATCATCACTATCCACGTGGCAACTTCTTATAATAAATTTTCCCTCCAAAACTATTATTGAAATCATTTTTTTTTAACTTTTCCAAGGTAAAGCTAATATTTGAAAATGATTGATTAATTATATCCTTCAATTTAACTCAATTAATCTAACTAGAGGGATCACAGTTTGTTATGTTTTACTTAAAATATTTATATTACACACTTACAAGAATTTTTTATTATTAAAACCGTACATCGCACGGAATTAACCTAGTTACAATAAGACTATTTGATTGACAACATTTTGTTGATCTAATAGATCAATCAAGGCTCGCTCACTTGGTATAGTTCAACCTCAATGAACATTGATTGAACTTTGATCATTATGTTGACCAGATACACCCTGAGCACTCAACACCGATTGCGCGTTTCCAAACCTTAGTTTAAAATGAGCCACTCTAGAAAACGTTTTCAAAATCACTCTAAAAACGAGGAGAGAAAACTCGTATACACACCGTTAGTGCTGTCAAATTTCAAACCGAAACCGTTTAACTGCCCGAATCCAACCGACCCAAATGAGAACCAAACCGATTAAAAACCGTTTCTTTGAAACCGAAAACCGACCCGAACCGCATTTTAGTAAATCTGAAACCGAACCAATCCGAGTAATGTTAAACCGTTTAAGAACCGAACATGTTAACAAACCGAACCAAATATAAACCGAACTGAAAGAAAACCGAACCGAAAAAAAACCGAACCGTATCTAACCCGAAACCGATTCCAACCCGAAACCGTTTGAACTGGCATAAAAACCGCTTACACCGAACTGTTAGCAAACTGCTACTCGTTTGCACCGAACCATTTAAAAACCGAACTGATTGTAAATCGAACTGCTTATAAACCGAACCGTTTATGAACCGAACCGTTTATGAACCGAACTGCTTATGAACCGAACCGCTTATAAATCGAACCGTTTACAAGCTTTTTTTTATGTAATAATAATTTTTTTTTTGGTGCACTTTTTTATGTAATTATATGGATTAAGTATTAGAAATCTTAGAATATATTTAGCATATATTCCATACTTATCAATTTTTCTTGAGACCATATACTTATCATATTAATTGTATATATCTTAGTAACTTAGTTAATACTAAATTCCCTTAGAAATAGCACTTCGTTAGCTAATCCGTGAGTATTGACTTTAATTTGGTTTTTGGGGAATAATCTGCAATTTTGGTTTTTTGGGCAATAACCTACAATTTTTTGGCC